GGGATTAGTAAGAAGATGAAATAAGAGTCAAGTAGTTGCAGGGTAGCACGTTATGGTGAAACGGGGGGTTACTTTTATTAGGAGTACTTTTTACTTGTATTTATAGCAGGGGGGTTGACAGTGAGTGGGACCCACGATTCAAAAACACCCCGATTTTGGGGAAAGAAATCTAGACTTGTACTCTTTCCCATCATCACACGTTGATATACTCAACTCTATACCAATGGTTCGGGTTACGATATATATATGCACAGGGAAATGATAATTATTTAAGATAACAAAAAAATGTATTAAAAAAAAAAAAGTGTACGGGTGATTTTGGTCTCGTTTCAGGTCGTGAAGTAAAATCGTGTGAATCACATGTGATTTTGTACATGATGTTAGTGTAAAATCATATGTAATTCGATTGTTTTCTTTTTCTCTTAAATAAGTACCGATCTCGTTTGAACCTAACTCTCTTTTTATTTCTCTCTATATATACATACATGTATATATAGCAAGTGGATTATTATACAATCTCTTACATTTGTATAACCAATATAACTCAATCTCAACCGTCCATTTAATTTGATGAATATGTAATTTCATAAAAGTTTTGATTGTTTTCTAATTAAAGTATTTGATCATAATTAATGAACCTTATTCATCTTACATAAATATATAAATCATAATAAATGAACTTTTATCATTTCCATAAATATTTCAATTTATTGGGTTATATTAGTTGTACAAATGTGATGAGTTGCATTTTAAACAAACTCTCTCTCTCTCTCACTCTCTATATATATATATGTGTGTGTGTGTGTGTGTGTATAAAGACAAAGTTCCATTAGAAACCCGATAACTATAAGCATGTTATGTGTCCCATTTTTAGAAAAAATATTTATGATGAAGCATTCATGAAGAATATGATCATGTTGTAAAAGATTTTAGGTTTCGAATCTATTTTAGCTTCTAAGTAAACCTATGTCTATATATATATACTGTCTTATAAACCATATTTATCAAAAGTTTTAAAAACAATTTTTGATGTACAAAACATTATACATTTATGCACAAAGTCTTAAAAGTATTAAAAATAACTCATAATGCATTAAGTACTATTACTTTGTATATGCATTCAGTCTTAAAATTTCTTAATATACAATTAAAATTACATATAGTACAAGTTACCAATGCACATTATTATATTTTCTTTACATGTTTCCAATATACTTTTGACACTTTTCACTCATGCATTCACCCTATCATACCTCTATGTCTTCTCTCGTCCCCCAATGTGAGATCCAAATTGATATTCACCATGAGTTATTAAAAGTTCTCTTATTCGTCTCTCATTCAATTGCTCTAAAACTCTCGGTCTCGCTCTCGATCTTTTGATTCTTTACTCTTGGAGCTGGTGTTAATCGAACACATTTATGGAGTCATTTAAATATATTGGATTTTAAACTGGCATACAATTTTTTTCATCGATAGACTGTAATTGGAACCATAACTCTTATTTATTCAAATTGTATTAATATGTAAAGACTAAATGTAACTTATATCATCGTTAAATCTTTTATAATAAAACCAGTAAAACTTCAAAATCATTAAAATTCACGGCTCCCACCGCATTACACGAATACACAACTAGTATGTATATTGAAAGGATTTGTAATCATGCAAGTAGCAAGATACTTGGCCCCACCCGAAACCTGCTACACGTATAGAAATCAACCACCAATCCACCATCTCCTTCTCATTGCCAGTCAAAATAGGGAATCCTTTTGCTTCACCTTTCTGAGTACAAATTTATATAAACCAGTTGATAGAATATCTGTTCGCTAACTAATAACTGAAAATTTAATCGATAAATTAATTATGTTTGATAAAAATTAGTAACTCATAACTGTTAAAGATGTTTTAAACAAAAGAAGTTAAATATTTCTGAACACTTAGGGGTCGTTTACCTAAACACTTACCCGATAACCACTTACCGGTATTATTCAACACTATCATTTACTTACCAGGTAATATTTTATTCACTAAAACACATCGTATGCAACAATCTATCCCGGTAAGCTCTAACCATGGTAAGAGTCATCGTCCTCACTTACTGGGTAAGATTCCCGACTCTTACTTTCGCTCTTACCGGGTAAATTTTTTAGTTCTTGCCATATTTATCCGATAAAGTAAAGTAATTTGATAAACACCTACCCAAATAAGCGTTCGGTAAACGGCACCTTATTTTCACAAACGAGTTCTAAAACATAATAATTGATTTAATTAATTAATTAAAAAAATGGAGCAGTGGATTGGAATGGTCAAAAGAGGGCACGTGACCAGAGGGTACAGTCTTCCAGGGATCTGGTGTTCTCGGATCACGAGGCGAACATACATAGTGAAAGTATATGATTCGTACTTTGTGCATATTAAATAGTAAAGTGGCGTGGATTTAGAAATTTGAGATCTGGAAAAGGCAATGAGTCAGGTGACATGCAGAGGGCGTCAAATCGGTTTCAGTTAGCCTCCTTCTCTACAAAACTACAAGCAGTTGGAGCCGGGCCTCAACCCCACTCCGACTCCGTACCCACGTGAATTGTTTAACAAATACAGCATCTAAACCTTTTACAAAATAAAACCTAAAAAGTTATCATTGACAAATTAACTGATAAATTATTTGATAGCTACAAAGTTAGTTAATAAAAAATAATGTTTGGAAAAAACTTATTTATGATCATGTAAAATAACTATAAATGTGGTGTCTGATTGGTTTAAGCTTGACTATAAAGATCAAAAGTATCAAGAGGTCTCATGTTTAAATCCAAAGAGGAATAAAAATTCTCTTGTGATCACGAAGATTCAAATGCGGTGACTCCAGACTATCTGCAAAGTAGGTGGTCATCCTGGGATTAGTCGGCTCGTATACCGGGTTGGATATCCAGGTTAATTAAATAAGACATCTTAAAAAATTAGTAATGTCTCATTTATATTTTTATTAGACACTAATACTAATAAAGTATAATATTAATATAAAACTTAAAATAAATCTTTAAGGATTTAATATGTTAATTAATATAAACAAGATAGTAAAAAAATAAAATAAAATAATATAT